CCTGACTGTCTTCAAGACTCCTGACTGTCTTCAAGACTCCTGGCTGTCTTCAAGATTCCTGACTGTCTTCCAGACCCCTGGCTGTCTTCAAGACCCCTGGCTGTCTTCAAGATTCCTGACTGTCTTCAAGACCCCTGGCTGTCTTCAAGACCCCTGGCTGTCTTCAAGACCCCTGGCTGTCTTCAAGACCCCTGGCTGTCTTCAAGACCCCTGGCTGTCTTCAAGACTCCTGGCTGTCTTCAAGACCCCTGGCTGTCTTCAAGACTCCTGACTGTCTTCAAGACTCCTGACTGTCTTCAAGACCCCTGGCTGTCTTCAAGATTCCTGACTGTCTTCAAGACTCCTGGCTGTCTTCAAGATTCCTGTCTTCCAGACCCCTGGCTGTTTTCAAGACCCCTGGCTGTCTTCAAGATTCCTGACTGTCTTGAAGACCCCTGACTGTCTTCAAGACCCCTGGCTGTCTTCAAGACTCCTGGCTGTCTTCAAGACTCCTGGCTGTCTTCAAGACCCCTGGCTGTCTTCAAGACTCCTGGCTGTCTTCAAGACTCCTGGCTGTCTTCAAGACTCCTGGCTGTCTTCAAGACCCCTGGCTGTCTTCAAGACCCCTGGCTGTCTTCAAGACCCCTGGCTGTCTTCAAGACCCCTGGCTGTCTTCAAGACTCCTGGCTGTCTTCAAGACTCCTGGCTGTCTTCAAGCCTCCTGGCTGTCTTCAAGACCCCTGGCTGTCTTCAAGACTCCTGACTGTCTTCAAGATTCCTGACTGTCTTCCAGACCCCTGGCTGTCTTCAAGACCCCTGGCTGTCTTCAAGACCCCTGGCTGTCTTCAAGATTCCTGACTGTCTTCAAGACTCCTGGCTGTCTTCAAGACTCCTGGCTGTCTTCAAGACTCCTGGCTGTCTTCCAGACCCCTGGCTGTCTTCAAGACTCCTGACTGTCTTCAAGACCCTGGCTGTCTTCAAGACTCCTGACTGTCTTCAAGATTCCTGGCTGTCTTCAAGACTCCTGACTGTCTTCAAGACCCCTGGCTGTCTTCAAGACTCCTGGCTGTCTTCAAGACTCCTGGCTGTCTTCAAGACCCCTGGCTGTCTTCAAGACTCCTGGCTGTCTTCAAGACTCCTGGCTGTCTTCAAGACTCCTGGCTGTCTTCCAGACCCCTGGCTGTCTTCAAGACTCCTGACTGTCTTCAAGATTCCTGACTGTCTTCCAGACCCCTGGCTGTCTTCAAGACCCCTGGCAGTCTTCAAGACCCCTGGCTGTCTTCAAGACTCCTGGCTGTCTTCAAGACCCCTGGCTGTCTTCAAGACTCCTGGCTGTCTTCAAGACTCCTGGCTGTCTTCCAGACCCCTGGCTGTCTTCAAGACTCCTGACTGTCTTCAAGATTCCTGACTGTCTTCAGACCCTGGCTGTCTTCAAGACCCCTGGCTGTCTCCAAGATTCCTGACTGTCTTCAAGATTCCTGACTGTCTTCCAGAACCCTGGCTGTCTTCAAGACCCCTGGCTGTATTCAAGATTCCTGACTGTCTTCCAGACCCCTGGCTGTCTTCAAGACCCCTGGCTGTCTTCAAGACCCCTGGCTGTCTTCAAGACTCCTGACTGTTTACCTGGAGTTTACCTGGAGAGAGTTCCGGGGGTCAACGCCCCCGCGGCCCGGTCTGTGACCAGGCCTCCTGGTGGATCAGAGCCTGATCAACCAGGCTGTTGCTGCTGGCTGCACGCAAACCAACGTACGAGCCACAGCCCGGCTGATCAGGAACTGACTTTAGGTGCTTGTCCAGTGCCAGCTTGAAGACTGCCAGGGGTCTGTTGGTAATCCCCCTTATGTGTGCTGGGAGGCAGTTGAACAGTCTCGGGCCCCTGACACTTATTGTATGGTCTCTTAACGTGCTAGTGACACCCCTGCTTTTCATTGGGGGGGATGGTGCATCGTCTGCCAAGTCTTTTGCTTTCGTAGTGAGTGATTTTCGTGTGCAAGTTCGGTACTAGTCCCTCTAGGATTTTTCAGGTGTATATAATCATGTATCTCTCCCTCCTGCGTTCCAGGGAATACAGGTTTAGGAACCTCAAGCGCTCCAGTAATTGAGGTGTTTTATCTCCGTTATGCGCGCCGTGAAGGTTCTCTGTACATTTTCTAGGTCAGCAATTTCACCTGCCTTGAAAGGTGCTGTTAGTGTGCAGCAATATTCCAGCCTAGATAGAACAAGTGACCTGAAGAGTGTCATCATGGGCTTGGCATCCCTAGTTTTGAAGGTTCTCATTATCCATCCTGTCATTTTTCTAGCAGATGCGATTGATACAATGTTATGGTCCTTGAAGGTGAGATCCTCGACATGATCACTCCCAGGTCTTTGACGTTGGTGTTTCGCTCTATTTTGTGGCCAGAATTTGTTTTGTACTCTGATGAAGATTTAATTTCCTCATGTTTCCTGACTGTCTTCAAGACCCCTGGCTGTCTTCAAGACTCCTGGCTGTCTTCAAGACCCTGGCTGTCTTCAAGACTCCTGACTGTCTTCAAGACTCCTGACTGTCTTCAAGACTCCTGACTGTCTTCAAGACTCCTGACTGTCTTCAAGACTCCTGGCTGTCTTCAAGATTCCTGACTGTCTTCCAGACCCCTGGCTGTCTTCAAGACCCCTGGCTGTCTTCAAGATTCCTGACTGTCTTCAAGACCCTGGCTGTCTTCAAGACCCTGGCTGTCTTCAAGACCCCTGGCTGTCTTCAAGACCCCTGGCTGTCTTCAAGACCCCTGGCTGTCTTCAAGACTCCTGGCTGTCTTCAAGACCCCTGGCTGTCTTCAAGACTCCTGACTGTCTTCAAGACTCCTGACTGTCTTCAAGACCCCTGGCTGTCTTCAAGATTCCTGACTGTCTTCAAGACTCCTGGCTGTCTTCAAGATTCCTGTCTTCCAGACCCCTGGCTGTTTTCAAGACCCCTGGCTGTCTTCAAGATTCCTGACTGTCTTGAAGACCCCTGACTGTCTTCAAGACCCCTGGCTGTCTTCAAGACTCCTGGCTGTCTTCAAGACTCCTGGCTGTCTTCAAGACCCCTGGCTGTCTTCAAGACTCCTGACTGTCTTCAAGACTCCTGGCTGTCTTCAAGACTCCTGGCTGTCTTCAAGACTCCTGACTGTCTTCAAGACCCCTGGCTGTCTTCAAGACCCCTGGCAGTCTTCAAAACTCCTGGCTGTCTTCAAGATTCCTGACTGTCTTTAAGGCTCCTGTCTTCAAGACTCTTGGCTGTCTTCAAGACTCATGTCTTCAAGACCCCTGGCTGTCTTCAAGAATCCTGGTTATCTTCAAGACTCTTGACTGTCTTCAAGACCTCTGGCTGTCTTCAAGACTCCTGACTGTCTTCAAGACCCCTGTCTCCAAGACTCTTGGCTCTCTTCAAGACTCATGTCTTCAAGACCCCTGGCTGTCTTCAAGACTCCTGACTGTCTTCAAGACTCCTGGCTATCTTCAAGACTCCTGGCTGTCTTCAAGACTCCTGGCTATCTTGAAGACCCCTGATTGTCTTCAAGACTACTGGCTGTCTTCGAGACTCCTTGCTGTCTTTAAGACTCCTGGCTGTCTTCAAGACTCCTGACTGTCCTCAAGACTCCTGGCTGTCTTCAAGACTCCTGACTGTCTTCAAGACCCCTGTCTCCAAGACTCTTGGCTCTCTTCAAGACTCATGTCTTCAAGACCCCTGGCTGTCTTCAAGACTCCTGACTGTCTTCAAGACTCCTGGCTATCTTCAAGACTCCTGGCTGTCTTCAAGACTCCTGGCTATCTTGAAGACCCCTGATTGTCTTCAAGACTACTGGCTGTCTTCGAGACTCCTTGCTGTCTTTAAGACTCCTGGCTGTCTTCAAGACTCCTGACTGTCCTCAAGACTCCTGGCTGTCTTCAAGACTCCTGACTGTCCTCAAGACTCCTGGCTGTCTTCAAGACTCCTGACTGTCCTCAAGACTCCTGGTTGCCTTCAAGACTCTTGGCTGTCTTAAAGACCCCTGGCTGTCTTCAAGACTCTTGGCTGTCTTCAAGACTCCTGGCTGTCTTCAAGACTCCTGGCTGTCTTCAAGACTCCTAGCTGTCTTCAAGATAAGGCACTGAACAAGTACCTAAAGTCAGTACCTGACCAGCCGGGATGTGGTTCGTACACTGGACTACGTGCGGTTAGCAGTAACAGCCTGGTTGATCAGACCCTGGTCCATCATAAGGCCTGGTCACAGATCGGACCACGGGGGCGTTGACCCCCGGAAATCTCTCCAGGTATACTCCAGGTTCTCTTCTGAAACAAGAGAGCCGTTGGTGTTAAGTTATACGTCCAGGTATAATCCAGGTACTCCTGGTATCCCTGCTTTTCATTTGGGGAAATGTTGCATCTCCTGCCAAGTCTTTTGCTTTCATAGGGAGTGATTTTCGTGTGCAGATTTAGGAGTAGTCCCTGTAGGATTTTGCAAGTTTTTATTATCATGTATCTTTCTCCCCTGAGTTCCAAGGAGTACAAATCAAGGGACTTCAACCGTTCCTAGTAATTTAAGTGCTTTATTGTACTTATACGTGAATTCCCAATGGAGATCTTTGAATTTCCATTAGGTCCTTGAATTTCCATTAGGTCCTTGAATTTCCATTAGGTCCTTGAATTTCCAATGTAAATTCCAAGACCCAATGGAAATAAGTCACTTTATCTTACTTTCTGGGACTGTCCCAGGTAATTTACCCACAAATTAATCAAGGAGGGGTGTTAATGTTTACCTGGAGTTTACCTGGAGAGAGTTTCGGGGGTGTAAAGCACCCTTCTGGCAAGACAGTGATGGAGTGAATGATGGTGAAAGTTTTTCTTTTTCGGGCCACCCTGCCTTGGTGGGAATCGGCCAGTGTGATAAAAAAAAAAAAGTGTATTAAGATGAAGGAAGGTTCTTGGGCCCTCAAGGGAGGTTCCTTGATGCTGGTGAGGGGGCTCTTGATCTAGGGAATTGGATCTGTGATTCAATTTCCTGAATTAAGCCTGAATGTCTTCCATCCATACAGGCGCCGTATGATCGCTACCGGTTTAGCGCTCCCCCAGGAAAATAATAATAATGTAGGGTGTTGGCAACAGTGGCTGCTGGAGCCTCCTGCGTACAAGGTTAGAATTTTTAGACAAATATTAGAAGAAAACATTAGAAAACGTTAGAAGACAACCTTAAGTTTAATGTTGGGGATTTATATTAGTTGAAACACTACTGGAATTATTTTTATTATTTAAGGTGATATTGAATTGTGACCACAATGGAAATGTCACTATTTTTTTTTTTTTGGGGGGGGGGGGGTTATCTTGCTTGTGAGGGGCTCTTGATCCGGGGAATTAGATCTGTGCTCCAGTTCCCTGAATTAAGCCTGAATGCTTTTCACCCTTCCCCCCCACAGGAGCTGCATAATCCCTACGGGTTTAGCGCTCCTCCATAATTTGGGTTCTCCTGGAGGGTAATTGACGCTTATGTATGATAATAATTTTGTGTACCAGTACCTAAATAAACTTACTTAGTGCCATCAGCTGGGGAATGACCAGAGGTGCTTAGTAAGTTTATTTAGTTACAGGTACACATAATTACAATACATAGTGTGAATTACCCAGAAAAACCCAAAAAAGTCAAACTACTCAACTATATGTACCCACATATATATATATATATAATATAAATGCGAGGGTCTTGGCAAGAGGCGTGGAGTTAAAAGATAAAGAATCACACACAAAGTGGGAGTTGTCACAGCTGCTCTTTGCTGATGACACTGTGCTCTTGGGAGATTCTGAAGAGAAGTTGCAGAGATTGGTGGATGAATTTGGTAGGGTGTGCAAAAGAAGAAAATTAAAGGTGAATACAGGAAAGAGTAAGGTTATGAGGATAACAAAAAGATTAGGTGATGAAAGATTGAATATCAGATTGGAGGGAGAGAGTATGGAGGAGGTGAACGTATTCAGATATTTGGGAGTGGACGTGTCAGCGGATGGGTCTATGAAAGATGAGGTGAATCATAGAATTGATGAGGGAAAAAGAGTGAGTGGTGCACTTAGGAGTCTGTGGAGACAAAGAACTTTGTCCTTGGAGGCAAAGAGGGGAATGTATGAGAGTATAGTTTTACCAACGCTCTTATATGGGTGTGAAGCGTGGGTGATGAATGTTGCAGCGAGGAGAAGGCTGGAGGCAGTGGAGATGTCATGTCTGAGGGCAATGTGTGGTGTGAATATAATGCAGAGAATTCGTAGTTTGGAAGTTAGGAGGAGGTGCGGGATTACCAAAACTGTTGTCCAGAGGGCTGAGGAAGGGTTGTTGAGGTGGTTCGGACATGTAGAGAGAATGGAGCGAAACAGAATGACTTCAAGAGTGTATCAGTCTGTAGTGGAAGGAAGGCGGGGTAGGGGTCGGCCAAGGAAGGGTTGGAGGGAGGGGGTAAAGGAGGTTTTGTGTGCGAGGGGCTTGGACTTCCAGCAGGCATGCGTGAGCGTGTTTGATAGGAGTGAATGGAGACAAATGGTTTTTAATACTTGACGTGCTGTTGGAGTGTGAGCAAAGTAACATTTATGAAGGGATTCAGGGAAACCGGCAGGCCGGACTTGAGTCCTGGAGATGGGAAGTACAGTGCCTGCACTCTGAAGGAGGGGTGTTAATGTTGCAGTTTAAAAACTGTAGTGTAAAGCACCCTTCTGGCAAGACAGTGATGGAGTGAATGATGGTGAAAGTTTTTCTTTTTCGGGCCACCCTGCCTTGGTGGGAATCGGCCGGTGTGATAATAAAAAAAAAAATATATATGGTTGCAGGGGGTCAGTCCCTCAGTCTTGGTGTAGATTCACCTGATGTTAGAAATGGAATACTGCTTTGTTAAATGCTGAATATCAGGTTGTGTGCAGCCTACAGTAACAGCCTGGTTGATCAGGCCCTGATCCACCATGAGGCCTGGTCACAGACTGGTCCATGGGGGCGTTGACCCCTGGAATCCTCTCCAAGTATACTCCAGGTAGTTCCACTGCTTAGTAAATATATTAAAACATTGGTATTTCACAGCATTTAATATGAGGTTGATTTTACAGAGGCAGAGCGATGCAGTGCAGCGTTAGTGTGGGGTTGTGGGTCGTAGTGACAGCGATGGTGATAGTGGGTGCAGAGGTGAGTCCTTTCCTATGTCACGTTCTGCTATTTTCTCTCTTAAAGAGCAGATTGTCTTCCGTTAAGGACGTGAAAGGATCTTGAGTTAATTGTCAGTTTGTATCAGTAATCTTTTCATCTGTCATCCATCTTCCATAACTTACATAGAAAGCAAACTTGTTAAATATGCAGAAATTGAGAATAATGTGGTAAGACCCTTCATAATTTGTCATGTCCCTGGTAATACGACAGACACAAGTATGTTGTCTTTGAGGCACTGTACTATGTTCTTCTCTTAGGCTTTCACCTACCTCAAGAGGAAATTTGGGCCAGACCCCATCATCACATACACAAACCCCTCCTGCCGCTCATTACCTCGCCACAACGAGGTAAAGTCATATTTCATTTGTTCACCTGTGCTTGAATGTTTGTATAATTTTACATCTCTCGACCTTTATTATTCTGTTGGGACAACTAGTCTCTGTTGTATTTCCATCTTGGAGTTTTTCAATTATTAACTTGATAGTTTTACAGCAGATCATGTTAAAATGTTTATAAGTACTGTAATTGCACTTTAACATTAACAAATACAGAAATATTTAAGTAATTTTAGTTATAAATGTTTATACATTTATAATAAAGTATTTACTGTATAAATACAGTAGGTAATTAGGATATTAATTACCAGTCTAGTGCTGCACATTATACAGGAAAGAGCACACATCATTGGATGTACAGGAAGGCCTCACTAATGCAGCAGGTTAGGTTCTCGCCTACTGCTGTAAAGTGAAAATTGCTGTAAAGTGAATCATAGCCTTTTTTTTTCACTTTCAAATGCATATAAAAGTCTGATAATATGTTTACACTATCATATATTAAGTGAGCAATATACCTAGACCTCATATACCTAAAAAGGCCTCATGTCATTCAGATAGATAGCTTGCTAGCTTGATTTATTTATTGATTTTTTTTTTTGCTTGTTCAGGCTTCTTTTAAGATACAGTAGTTTGTACTGCAGTAGTAAGTACAGTTCTCAGGGATGCTTTTATGAAGAGGCTGAAGGAATTAGTATTAATAGTAAGTTTGTTCCTTGGAGAGCATTAGGGAAATCTTCCAATATATTTTAGCGCATTTGCTATTTCTCATAACATTTCGGGATCTAAATTCATTATGTTCATGTTGTTCCTTGTTAATGTAGCAAAACCTAATGTACTGTACTACATTGTGCACCTTGTTTTTATAGTAGTTTCTCTCTTGCTATTTCTTTACTCTGGTATAGGAATATGTGGTTTGTGGTTGATGGTTTAACAAAATTATGTACGTACGTAGTTTGCTGTATTTATGTAAAGTACACGTGGCAGGTAGTGTGTGAGGGTCTCAAGTCCCTAGAGGAGGTGACATCACTTGTGTCGAGTGAGCAGCTACCTCAGGTTACTACACTCACCATTGCACATGCCAATATCTCCTCTTTCACCTTAGATGATTTAGTGAGCCTTACTTCCCTACACACGCTTATGTTCAACTTCAGGTCAGTGGCTGCTTATTCTCTCATTGGTGTCTTGACCTAGGCTCACCTGGGGGATGTTATAACAGCACATGTTGCAATGCAAGAAGTTTGAAAAAGTAGATGAAAAAAGTTTGCTGAGTGATCACATCTTCTCTTTCATTATATTCGTATGTTAATATAATACTGTATAGTATATTAATCTTGTTATCTTTCATTGCATCTTATTGTTTTTATTTTGTATTTAGTTCTGATACAGAATGTAATTTATCATTTATATTTGACAACCTATTCATATAAATTTAAATTTATTGGTAAAAGATATAGATCTCATTTTGTAAGATTACTGTATCCAGTACTGTAATTAAGACACAGTAGTTTACATTTTGCCAGCTAAGTTGCTAGTTTATTGTGCACCCCATATCCATCCTGTGAACAGTAGTACAAGAGCATATGGATATACAAAAGACCTAGATATGAGGTACCAGAAGGGTTAACGGAAGTACATCTGGATATATATTTACAATTAAGAGATTCATCTATTAAAGGCAAATTTAGGATAGTTGAATAAAATATCTGATATTTTATTTTCATTAATAAGTTACCTTGCCATATCACTTAGAGCATTATGCTGTCAATACATGGATAATCATGCACAAAGTGTTCAAGAAATTCTCTGCATAAATATGGGCATTCTCCGTGCACAACTAAATGTTATCCATCTCTGTATAAACATTGTATTATGCTGAAATAAATTATTATTATTATTAAGAAAGTGACCATAAAGCTGGACACATGCTTTGCATTTATGTAGTTTGATCATCATCTATGTATGTAACAAAACCTAAGCCTGGCTTCCACAATCTGCCTGCTCACTCTATTTACTATGAAAGTAATCATGGTATGCATGTTTTAAGTGCAGTGGAACCCTGAGTTTCGAACACATTGACTATCGAACGCTTCAAGTTTCAACCACTTTTTTCTCAACAATTTTATCCCGAGTATCGAATGTGTAAGCTACCATGGTTGTGATTGAGGCAGTGGTGGAGGCAGTGCCACTGCCTCCACCACTTCCTCGACCACTGTGAGAGGGTGAGTAGATGTAGGGGTGAATGTGAGAGGGGTGGGTAGATGTAGGGGTGAATGTGAGAGGGGTGGGTAGATGTAGGGGTGAATGTGAGAGGGATGGGTAAATGCAGGGGTGAATGTGAGAAGGTGGGTAGATGTAGGGGTGAATGTGAGAGGGGTGGGTAGATGTAGGGGTGAATGTGAGAGGGATGGGTAAATGCAGGGGTGAATGTGAGAAGGTGGGTAGATGTAGGGGTGAATGTGAGAGGGGTGGGTAGATGTAGGGGTGAATGTGAGAGGGATGGGTAAATGCAGGGGTGAATGTGAGAAGTTGGGTAGATGTAGGGGTGAATGTGAGAGGGGTGAGTAGATGTAGGGGTGAATGTGAGAGGGTGGGTAGATGTATGGGTGAATGTGAGAGGGATGGGTGGGTGAGTGAGTGCATGCCAGTGTAGTGTTTGAAGGTTGTACCTCAGCCACTGAATGAACCTGTCCTGGAGAGGAACATCCCTCCTGGGTTTCCACACCCACCCACCACTAACACAACGTCAATATCCACAGTGGTGGAGGCAGTGCCACTGCCTCCATCATTGCCACAGTGGTTGAGGCAGTGGTTGTGGCAGTGGTTGAGGCAGTGGTTGGGGCAGTGGTTGAGACAGTGGTGGAGGCAGTAGTGGAGGCAGTGGTTGAGGCAGTGGTTGAGGCAGTGGTTGAGGGGGATTCCCCTTCCAAACAATAATAAGTCCTCCCTCTCTCCTCCTCCCTATCTTCCAGATGTCAACAAGAGTCTTCAATAAAAGTATGTAAGTATGATTTTAAATGCTTATTCAAATGTTTATTTATCTATTTCATTACTCATTTAAGTACTGTATGTATTTATAATTGTTTTGTATATGTAAAAACTATAGTTATTCTTTAACCCGTAAACGGTCCAAGCAGATCTACGTTCACATGTGTAGTGCTACAAAAGTAGATCTACGTTTTTTTTACATATTTTCAAATATAACAGAAAAAAAAGTAGATCAAAGTTTTTTACACATTTTCAAATGTAAAAAAACAAAAAGAAGATCTACTTTTTTACATACTTTCAAATGTTGAAAAAACGTATATATACGTTTGGACCATTTACGGGTTAAAAAATGCATTTTTTGTGAATATTTTTGGAGGTCTGGAACGGATTAATTGTATTTACATTATTTCCTATGGGAAATATTGCTTCGAGTTTCAAATGTTTTGACTTTAGAACTAGCTCCTGGAACGGATTAGGTTCGAAGCTTGGGGTACCACTGTATGGCATACTGGCAATAAGACCTCCAGTGGAAACACGTTACACTGTTTAATTTTATTGGGTTATTCTAGGTGAAAGTACGTTGTGTACCGTTATTATGTGCCTAAATCATCTGTGTGTTCCGTAGAACCATTATGTACAAATTTATACTACTGTATGTGTAATATTCGTAAGAGGTTTCTTTGGAATGCTTATCTTCTGTTGGTAATCAAAGCATCATTTCAGTTATGTGAAGAACTGGACGGCTCCACATCTTGATCCTCTGCCCAGCGTGACGACACTGCTGCTGAACCACTGCTGGGACAATAACATGCTCAAAATAATTGAGAAGAAACCAACACTTGTGCTCACTTCCCAGGTACTGTTTGTCAGTTTGTCAAATTCTTTCATTTCCCTATCATCATTATCTCACTTTCCACATTCATGATGGGAAGAGAGGCATGGGGCCTTTAGCAGAGAAGAGGTGGCTTTCAGTTCAGTCTCCTGTCAATTGAAGGGAATATGGGGCTGACTTATGGCAAGACAGTGATGGAGTGAATGATGATGGAAGTGTTTGTTTCTTCTTTTTTTTGGGTCACCTATGCCTCAGTAGGAAATGGCTGATGTGTTAAAAAAATATTACATTACAGCAGTTGACTTTTGTACATTATATATATCTATATATATATATATATATATATGTTACAGATGTTGAGTTATGTACCATCATTGGAGGAGCTTTACCTTGTCGATGCTTCTTGATGCAGCCGGAGAAATTAGAGGATGTAAAACACTTACGCAAACTCCACATAATTGGTAAGACATAGAATTTATTGTCACCATGTTGAACTTGAAATTATTGAATAGATTTTCAACTTTTGACAATAACATACAAAAAAATGTAACATTGACCATGAATTAGACGAGTATTAATGGTGTTTGTACTGTATAATGACTCTCAGAGAGTTAATGACTTGTGTCACTGTACTTTAATATAAAACCCTCCTTAAAGCTCACTAGTGTCCCGTAACTTTGTTAATGTTGATCTTAATTATTGTATTAGACATTGGTGGTGCACACTGTAGAAGAGCAACTGGTATGTGGTGTATTGAAATAAATTGACATTCAGGCGTGTTTTTCGACTGATTACAGTAATACGTATATACATACATCTGAGTGGGCAGTTGGGCATGATACATTTTTATTTGAACACTCCAGCCATTCTCCCACAATTTGTCACTTTAGATCTACAAATATCTTGTTTGATTACATGTAGCCTAATTCCTCCTAGAGAAAATCCTGGCCCAGGGGTGTACAAGCTTAGATTTAGGCATTTAGAAGACTTTTTTAATAGTGTAGAAGCTTAGATTTAGGTATGTAGAAGACTTTTTAATTATGTAGAAGGTTAGATTTAGGGTAAAATATTATTTTGATGTAAATGCAGTAAGTTGTTACGGTCTTCATGCTAATTTATGGCAATGATATGTTGAATACTGTATGTGTTTATACTTTGTGGACTAGTACATTATATGTGAGAGGTATACAGTAGCATTCTGATGGCACAGATGGTGGAGTTGGGTGCGACAGCAGCAACTTGTGGCTGCTGGATTGGTTTGAGAGTGGAAGAGCCAGCATCTCAAGGAACACCACCTGCTACATTCCCACAGTGCATGACATGGCCACCTTGTTCAGTCTCAGTGGCCGAGAACTGCTCATGTGGTTACGCTACAAGAAGGTGGGTACCACAGCTCTTGGTACAGCTTCTCCTCACTTAGCGATGTACTCGCTTACCGACACTTCGGACTTATGACAGGCTCTCTGACCAGTAATCATACCTAAATAATGTATATTAGAGCTGATTTCCTCTATTCTGTTTATTTCAATATACAGTACACTACTATATAAACATTTAAAAATATACCAGAAATGTTTATAAATGGTGCAAAGTTTATAAATGGTGCATTATACATTAGTATGCTCCTCACTTAGCAACGAATTCATTTAACAACATAGTCTGAGGAACGGAACTCTGTTGTTAAGTGAGGAGAGGCTGTATTTAATTGTGGTGATGAGCAAGTTTCTTTTGTGGCCTAGAGTGAAGTGCTTCTGTGTGACATGCAATGGTAGTAGTAGTAGTAATGGGTGGTCTGTAGTGGTGGCGAGTGATCTGCAGTGATCGTGGGTGATAGGTAGTGGTGGTGGGTGATCTGCAGTGTTGGTGGTTGATCTGTAGTGGTAGTGGTGGGTGATCTGCAGTTGTGGTGGTAATCTATAGTGGTGGTGGATGATTGCAGTGGTGGTGGGTGATGTGTAGTGGTGGTGGATGATGTGTAATGGTGGTGAGTGATGTATAGTGATAGTGGGCAGGCCATCAGCAGTATCAGGACACTCTTGAATGGTAAACTATCAAAGCAATACATTACTACCTACAACTAAAGGGTGGCTGCTCAGAGTGGGTAGTGGCAGAGGCTGTTGTATAATGGTCATGAAATATGATAATTTGTGATTCCTGATAAAATGCACTATGTACATTATTGTTGATGCTGCATAACACACAGCAGGCTGTAACTGAGTCTTGTCTTGCAGGAGACAGAGAGAGAGTGTGTAGCTCCATGCAACTGTTCTGTGACTGGGATAAAAGAAAATTTGGACCCTATAATTCATGTTGACTGTCAAGAAGTTGGTCTGACAGAGTTACCAATAATCCCACACAATACCACACGGCTTACACTGGACAGAAATAATGTGAGTACTGTGTGCTTGCTGTTCTCTTGTAGGATTGTTTTTGTACCACACGTCAATACTCACACTGGTCCTACATCAGTTATACAACTTCATACACTTCTACTACTACTACTACTACTACTCAACTTGTACATCTTTTTCCTGGCTTTCTTGTTATCCAACTTCACTTTTTTTTCACTTAACCATTAATTGTCCAAGCACTTAGTAAAGCAGTACTAGTGAGGCATCATGGTGTCATAACTGTATGTGCTGTCAACCCCTGTACTATACTACTTGTATAATAAACTTTAGTAACACATACACTATATTCATCTAACCGCATTAGAAATATAAATCCAGATATCCACCCACTTACAAACACATCCAAACAGTCGGTGCTCTGGGAATTCATGGGTCATGTCTAAGCATTTTGACTGAAAATTTGAACATGAGGTGAATGGCTGTGAAATTTGTGCCCTGCTGGCTGACTCAACCAGCATTTTCTCACCAAAAGGAAAATGGCTGTCATTGCCCCACCCTCCCTACTCCCCAGATCTAGCCCCCTGTGACCTCTTTCTCTTCCCAAAAATAAAAATGGCACTTAAGGGCAGCATTTTATTGACATGGAGGAGATTCAAGCAAAATAGCAGGCTGCATCAGATGCTGTTAGGAAAGAAGAGTTTCAGAAATGTTTTGAGAATTGGCAGAGGGGTGCTGGGATCAGTGTAGTAAAGCCTCCCAAGGAGAGTACTTCCAGGGAGACAACTTCAGCTGGGTGATTAGGTAAGTCTGTATATATTTTTCATGGTAGTCTGGGTACTTTCTGATAGCACCTCATATACCTTTTATGCTACCTTATGGTATTCTGACTTCTGCACTATCTATTCTTTGGATAATATTCACACCACACGTTGATCTCAAACATGACATCTCCAGCCTCCTTTTGAGAAGTAATAATGTATAGAATTTATTTTGGTTAACCTTCAGGAAGTTTATATTTATTACATATTACATATTTACAGCACATGCATATGGTACAGTGTATAATCTCTTGTCTGAGTGGTATCGTAATGCAGCATTCTTAATGAAGGTAATTTAGAATGATCAAGGCATTAATTATGATGATGTAATTACAGATCACAAACATGAGTTTGCTGTTCACGAGCGAGCTTTACCATCACATAGACAGCATCGCACTCAACTACAATCGTATCTCCTACATGGATGGTGAACTTTACTATAACTACATAAAGAACCGTTCCATGGACATTATTATCAAATTGGCATATAATGGGCTTAAGACGGTAGGTTGTTTAATTGTGTATACTTTGCTGTGGAAACAGTGATAGAACAATGGAAGAGTTTACAAATGTTGTAACCACTGGAAACCTAAAAAAAACTCTATGACAAACTAAATACCAAAGATGGGACACCATGAGCTTACATAAGTTGTACAGTAGAACCCCTGTATCCACTGATTTAGTATATGCAGTTTCAGTTATCCTCTGTTTACTATGGCCCAAAAATACCTCTTAATTTTGCATATCAATGGCCCCAGTCTACAAAAGTAGAGAAGCTGGTAGTTCTTCAAGGCCTAAGAGAAACCATGAAGTGCTTCCTATCAATGAAAAAGTGATAATTCTCCACTTTATTCTTTCTTTCAACACACCGGCCGTATCCCACCGAGGCGGGGTGGCCCAAGAGGAAAAACAAAAGTTTCTCCTTTTATATTTAGTAATATATACAGGAGAAGGGGTTACTAGCCCCTTGCTCCTGGCATTTTAGTTGCCTCTTACAACACACATGGCGTACAGAGGAAGAATTCTGATCCACTTCCCTATGGAGATAAGAGGAAATAGACAAAAACAAGAACTAAAAAGAAATTAGAAGAAAACCCAGAGGGGTGTGTATATATATGCTTGTACATGTATGTGCAGTGTGACCTAAGTGTAAGTAGAAGTAGCAAGACGTATCTGAAATCTTGCATATTTATGAAACAGAAAAAAGGACACCAGCAATCCTACCATCATGTAAAACAATTACAGGCTTTCGTTTTACACTCACTTGGCAGGACGGTAGTACCTCCCTGGGCGGTTGTTGTCTACCAACCTACTACCTAGGAATTCTCCACTTACTGTGCATAATTTATCAATTAAACTTTATAATAGATATGTATAGGACTTATATATAGTGTTTGCTATTATCTGCCTTTTCGGTATCCATAGCAAGTCCTTGGAACGTATCCTCCATGGATACGGGGGTCATACTGTATATACAGTGTGTGATGTGGACACTTGGTCTTATCCATCCTCCTGGATACTGCTTTCAAGCTTCATTGTCAATTCACAGAATTATTTTCATAGAAACTACAAATGGCCAAACAGTTCCTACATGTTACGTAATAGAGCATATGAGCAACTGATGAGGCATTTATGGCTGTTGTTTCACTCTCCAGGAGCTTTATCAAGTTAATGCAAAGATTACATACCCTCTTGTCTCTCTAGCCTTTAAAGTAGCCTTCTGTGTGATACTGTATCAAGGCTTTCTTGCAGTCTGGAGTATGTAGTTCACCTAACTTTCTATTTCCTGCCCAGTCTCTTCTCATCCGGCCATATATTAGTGGGGCCTGACTGCAAACCCCTAGACTGTGCTGTTCCTTTGTGAGCAATTGTGTTCTTATAACATTTACAATGCAGTAAACTGTTGATACAGTGGACCTCCATAAAGTGGATATTGGCTAAAATGGATAAAAAAAACCTAGCCAGATAAAGGCTTAACATGTATGTATGTATGTTTAATGATGTATCTGATTTAAATAGCCATGAAGTAAACAAAATCTAATATTACTTCTTCTTCTAAAAATTGATAAAATTTGGCCCTTTTTTTTTAATCAAATTACTCTTTCCTTTGGAATTTAAATTTTTTTTCTGGGCTCCATAACATCTTGCCATTTGACTTGACACGTTCAAAAAGCATTTGTTCCATTTTGGGTTTAATCTTTTAATCATTTTTAAAAGTATTCCCCTTAAAATTAAAATTTTTAAAAACAAAGGTGCAAAATTGTACCTAAATTTAAGGAAAAAATTTCCCTTCCCACTTAACGGGGGTTCTTCCGAAAATTTTAAAAATGTTCATCCAAATAACATACTTAATGGGAAGGGGTTATGTAAAACCTTTTTTAATTTTTTAATGAAAAGACCTTTTAAAACTTTCTTTTTTTTTTAATTTTTATACAGTAGTGTACTGTATTTTGAAATAAACAGAATAGGGAAATCAGCTCTAATTTACATTATTTGGGTAGAATACGGGCAGGGCCTGTTGAAAAGTCCGAGGCGTTGGAAAAACGAGTACATCACTAAGTGAGGAGAGCTGATAGGTAGCGATGGTGGCATTCATGGCTAGGTATGGGTTATAGTGTAGAAAAACATGTCGGTATTCGTTGAAGCAAGGAAGGTTTCAGAAATCCTAGGAAGTACATTGTAGATGATGCTAGCCATCTACCGTATTTCCCCAAACCCCATCTGTTGGAGCTTTACGCTCCTGACTCAGAATAAATTGTCCTGGCCACCCCCAACCCCTGGCAAACTGTATTCTGAAGTCTCTATCCATTTAAAAAGGGGAAGAAAAATTTTGTTTTGTACTCTATTGTTTATACTGTATTTCTGTACGCATTTTCTTTTTTGGTACAGGGAATCTGTATTGTATTTACTTTTCCAGTAGTCAATCAGTACAGCAAAATGAGTCTTTATTGGGAATTTGCTTTACGGTAGTCAGTTATTAAACAGATTACATCCTTAAATTTAAGCCCCGGTAATGGAGTTTTATTAAAACAGACACCTCTTTCTCTGATTGCCCTTTTTTTATCAAGGTTTACGTGTTTTCTGATTACCCTTACATTACTGTGCAAAAGTATGCTATCTGTTTTTAGGACTGCCCCGTACCCTTGTTAAATAAACAATAAAGTTTGCCATATTCCATATACTGTAATTTTAGTGCTCCCATCTTAGTGATTGTTGAAAATTTAGAGAATGAGTTTTTAACCTTTCATACTTCCTCAGCTTTTTGCTTATTTTGTCAGATCCCATTGCCTTTTTTAATTTCCCCTTTTTTTTAATTATTTTTTTTTTTTTTTTTTCAGGTTACCCAAAAAAGAAAGAAAATCCCCCAAAAAAAAAAAATACTTTCATCATCATTCAAAAACTTTTTCACCCATCACCATAACACTGTTTTTGCAGAGGTGCTCAGAATACAACAGTTTAGAAGCATATACGTATAAAGATACACAACATATCCCTCCAAACTGCCATTATTTTAATGTATGTTTATTATTTCTATGTTGATTGTTCTTTTCTTTTCCTGCTCTGGAACTGGGCCTTGCATGGTTGTGAATATATGGTAGAATCTTCTTTCAAGCTCTTCTCATGCAAACAAGTTATTTTTTATCACGTTTATTGACATTGTGTATGTGTATTGCAGATGCCTGTGAAGATAATGAAACAGGTGCATAATGAGGCTGCCAAGGAGGGCAAGAATCATTTGCCCATGTTTGATTTGAGCAACAACCCATGGAACTGTGATGATTGTTCTTTTCTTCCAGATTTTCAGGTAAGCTATGTATTGGGCAATCTCCTTTAGCCTTCATGATCTGTACCTCATTTGTGGAAAGAAGGAAGGGTAGGGATCATCCCAGGAAGGAATAGCTGTTGGGGGGTAAATGGAGTTTTGAGTGCTAGGGGCTTGAGCATTCAACAGGATTGTGTGAGCATGTTAGAACAGAGTAAGTGGAGACAAATGAATTTTGTGGCTTGATGGGCTATTGGAGTGTGAGCAAAGTACCACTTATGAAAGGATTCAAGGAAAACTGATTAGCAGGACTAGATTCCTGGAGGTAAAAATTACAGTGCCAGTACTCAGAAGGAGGTATTGTATACCCTGATTTGAGATTGTGAGCTTTCTATTCAGAGCTTGGCTCTGCACCAGGCTTGTTTGGTGCTTGTCTAGTCAACCAGGTTGTTGCTGATAGCGACCTGCTGGCCCTCATATATCCATAACAGCCTAGTTGATCTGGCACTTAATGGAGGTACTAAGGGATATTGCAGTGCTGAGAGTCATTGAATTGTGATGTCTGCACACTTCTGGCAAAACACCTATTGAATGAGTGATGGTGAATGTGTTTCCTCTTTTTTGGGCCATTCTGCCTCTGGGATGGCTGGTGCATTAAATACAAAAAAAATAATAGAAAGAGTACTTCTCCAGTAAACAGTAAGTGACCTTTCAGTAGAATAAATGCTTATATATATGACAGTCCTAGGTAGTAGGTTGATAGACAGCAACCGCCCAGGGAGGTACTACCGTCCTGCCAAGTGAGTGTAAAACGGAAGCCTGTAATTGTTTTACATGATGGTAGGATTGCTGGTGTCCTTTTTTCTGTCTCATGAACATGCATGATTTCAGGTATGTCTTGCTACTTCTACTTACACTTAGGTCACACTACACATACATGTACAAGCACATATATACACACCCCTCTGGGTTTTCTTCTATTTTCTTTCTAGTTCTCGTTTTGTTTATTCCTCTATCTCCATGGGGAAGTGGAACAGAATTTCTCCTGTAAGCACGCGGTTGTAAGAAGGCGACTAAAATGCCGGGAGCAAGGGGCTAATAACTCTTCTCCGTGTGTATATATTACCTTAAATGTATTAAGAGGAGAACTGTCGTTTTTCCTTTTGGGCACCCGCCTTCAGGGGATACGGCCGTGTGTTAAAGAAAGAAGATATATGACAGTCCTAGGTAGTAAGGTTATAGACACAACCCGCCAGGGATTCTCTACTGTCCTGCCAAGTGAGTGTAAAACGGATCCTGTTAATTGTTTTACCATGATGGTAGATTGCTGTGCCATTTTTCTGTCTCATAAACATGCATGATTTTCAGGTAGTCTTGCACTTTACTTACACTAGGGCACACAGCTATACATGTACAAACATATATATACACACCCTTGGGTTTTCTTCTATTCTTTTAGTTCTGTTCTTGTTTATTTCCTATACCTTTGGGAAGTGACAGATTCTTCCAAGCATGTGTGTTGTAAGGGGTGACTAAAATGCTGGGAGCAAGGGGCTAGTAACCTCTTCTCCTGTATATATTACTAAATGTAAAAGGAGAAACTTTCATTTTTCCTTTTGGGCCACCCTGCCTCGGTGGGATACAGCCGGTGTGTTGAAAGAAAAGAAAGATATATGACAGTAGTTCTTATGTAATGGAAAGGGTTCCTTTGTAAGTGATAGAGATAATGGAGTGAATCTTGTATTTATTTACTAAAAAGTCTGTTGTCCCTGCAGGAACTGGTGTACTACCAGAACTATGAGATGGACCCCTCTAATATTCGATGTGCAAACTGGACCTCTACTGCTGGGCAACAGGTGGTCAAGCTCGACGTAAATTCCTTGTGTGCGCCTGATCCACCACTCCTTCAGCCACTGGACATTCTCAACATCTGTATGGGAATTCTCCTCCTGATGCTCATCTTTAATTTCCTTCACAATTTTGTTCAATACAAAAGGCATGGCAAACTTCCTGGATCATCACCAAACTACCTTGTTGCTGATCTATTACACCTTTGCTGATCTGTGAGCTCCCTAGGTGAGAGACACTTTATGGTCAACATTATAGCCTCATCTCATGTACTTGCAGCAGCCTGCTGGAAATAGCCTTCAAGTTTTACCTGACATTAACATATTTTCTCCATAGTCTTGTTTTCACTTATGTTGCAACAATGGTTGGAAGGTAAAACTTACTGACAGTTTCATCCACACTATGTTTTTTGGCAGAGATTCTCTTTGTTGTCACCAGAGCTAGAAAAAGTTTTGCATTATTCTAATCTCCATACACTGTTCTAGTACAAGAGATGATGCCATAGTATTAAGTCTGATTAATCAGATGTTGACAGTGTCTTGTCAGCACTGTATGACCCATTATGGGTTTAGTGCTTATATTGATTACATTATTATTAGTGATCTTGTGTTCATATAGTGAAGAGGCAGTAATTAAGACTGATTTGTGTGCTACTAAACGACAGGACACGACACTGCTTTTAATAAGCTCTTGGTTGTCCATATTTTGCATTTTTCTAGAGAACTATATACTGTAAATGAAATGAAATAATCAAATAAAGCACTAAACCTGAAAGGGTCATACAGCACTGCAGGTAGGAATGTATAAATGGAGAAATGGGCAAAAGTAAATAGGGAGTGAGGGTAGGGGTTAATGGGGAAGGGGGGAGTGCACAAGAAAATTTAAAATCACAGTTGATGTAATAAATTAGTGTGTTAAATAGTCAGTGTGTGTGTCAAAAGTGGAACTTTTAATGAGGAGGTCGGTTAGAGTGATTGTGTCGGGACACCGGAGGCATTACAAGTGAATGCTGTGTGCCAGTTGGTTAACAGGACAATCTATTAAGATATGATGAACTGACAATGCAGTTTGACAATCCCTGCAGAGCAGTGCTGCACTTTTTTCTGTAAGGTGTATGTGGGTGAGACATGTGGCCAATATGCAGGTGGGGAGTGCAGCTTCCCAAACATGACAGCAGTGGTAAGAAGAATGGCCAGAAACTCAGACATAGTTCAATAAAAGTAGTTTATTGTGGACTAACTGAGGCCACTGTTTTTGTCAGTGGCTGCAAGGTTAAGTAATAACTGAAATATAGTCTGAGAAAGGAATACCCCTGCACAAAATTGTAAGGTCATAAACAGCAGACCAAATATGAGTCTGCCTGTTCATTACCCCGAACATCAACATTTATCAGAATCCAGCAAAAAACATTTTTCTTTACTGGCAGTGGAGTATAATCAAAGCTGTTTACATAGAACAATGGGATAAAGGAAATTAAATTTCTGGATTGTGTATGATGGTCGTGAGAATTACATACAACTCGGCTGTGAAAATGCTAGCAGATTTTGTCAGTAAAAACTGCTGCATACCCAACACCATCAGAGGATTTAAAACCATCACTGTACACTGCAGTAACATGAGAATGAGAATGGGGATGATCAAGAAAGAGGGAGCATGAAGTTACAGTAGGTAACTGATCTTTTGCACATGGAAGTGGAGAAGAGCAAACATGAATCATAGAGACTTCCCAAGGGTAAAGAGAAAAATAGTATGCAGGGTGTACATTAAGAGGTAAATTACAAGAATCCAATAGACAACAATAGCAGTGCTGATGAAAGAAAGAAAGATGTTCTACTAACATCTATTATTGTCCTATTTGTAGAAAGCTCATGGAAATTGTGAGAGCAGGCATAATAACAGACATTGGGCATCAGTTCTGTCTTGCAGAGTTGGAATATCCTACTCTTCCTATGGGCTCTAAGCTAGGGAAGAACAAAAAGATCCGAGACTCAAGCATAACCCCCTGATGATGAATAGGATCAAGTCTAGAAAGAATAACGGGGGAGGCTGAAAATACAGTTGGTCACCATACCTGATACCATAATGAAAGAACAAACTTGTTTAACTTTTGCCACGATCTGTAATAAAATAGAGGACAGGCCATCAAAAAAAAAAAAAAAAAGTGTTCATTTTAGGTTTGAGTTAGAGAGCACCATAATGTAAAACGCTTCATTTAACCGTCCAGAATAAAAGACAGGTCACAATATGTAGTAGTAGTGTATAGAGGCTGCTAGTCAAAGCTCCCACATTCTGTTTTGTCAGAGGATAGAAAAGCCAATATAAAAATAAGAAGAGAACTAGTCAATTATCTGGTGCACTTTATTTTTTCATTAAGCATTGATAAAAGTCCAGCAACTGACCCTCTTATCTGCTGGACCTTAGAGTTTAGCTGCACTAGAAAACATAGTTCATGTTACTGATCTACTTAACTGTACCAGACAACAGTTTATATCAGTGATCTATTTGGACAGTTGTGTCAGAAATTTATTTCTCAGTGACTTGGTTACCTTAATATGTTTCTGCTGTTGTTGACAGACACAATTAATTTTGTGCTTATCCAGAAATTGAACCAAGATGTGACACCTGTATTAGTGTATAAAGTATAGTACTGTAATGAATTTTATAATCACATTTTTATAAATTTTTCAATGTGTGTGTATGTCACATTTTTCTCTCTTTGCCTTTGTCATTTATGCCTTGACAGCAAAAGTGATCATTATTAGATTATTGAAGTCATATATGTTTAATGCCTATTTTAAAAATGTTATACAGTTACTGAATTTATTATTATGAGAATCTATATATTAAGTACATATTTAAATGTATTACTTGTATTGGAGAGAAGATGGAGTAGGGGTCATCTTAGGAAAGATTGAAGGAAAGGAGGTAAAGCAGGGTTGGTATGTGAGGGGCTTGGACAGGTACGTGTGAGCATGCTAGATAGGAGTGGAGGCAAATAGTTTTTATTTGATGTGCTGTTGGAGTGTGAGCAAGGTAACATTTATAAAGGGATTCAGGGAAACCAGTTAGCTGGACTTCAAGTCCTGGAAGTGGGAAGTACAGTGCCTGCACTCTGCAGGAGGGGTGGGGTGGGGGGGACATCACATTGCAGTTTGGAATGTGAGCTGTAATGTCAGCACACCTCTGGCAAGATGGTAATGGAGTGATTGATGGTGAAAGTGTTTTTTCCCTTTTTCCCTTCGGCAAAATTTCCCCTTGGGTTGGGGGGACAGCCAGTGTTTCAAAAAAAAAAAAAAAAAAAAAAAAAAAGTTCGTTTTTGGATTGTTTGGTGGGAAAATTTTTGCCTTTTTAAACTACCGTGATTTCCCCTCAAAAATAAAATAATGAATACTAAATATTTTTTTAAAAAAACAACTTGGATACACTGGTGAGCTGGACTTTTGTTTTGGGCATTTAACATGGGGTAACTTTGAAAAATTTTTTAAATGTCCCAAAGCTTGGGATTAAATGAATCAGCCTTAAAATTCAGATTCCCCCAAAACCCTTCCAAAAGAAGGGGTTTCCCAACCAGTTTCTTTGGAAGTACTTTGTTCCCAGTGATAGTTTCTGACCTTAGAAAATTTAAAAATAGTCATTTCCTGGCACTGATTGGCCCACGACATTTTTTACCACCAAAATAAATACATTACGGGAATTTAATCCATCCCAGGTTTATTTTTAAATATCATGTATATTCTTTCTCACATTATACAGTATACAAGTTTAAAACGCAGGGTAGATTTAAGTTTGGGGCCCCTGTGATTCAAGTCCCGCTGATTTTTTTGAAAATGGGGGGAACTTTTTCCAAAAATTTCCCTGCATATGTTGGGTCAGCTTTTTCAAAAATGAATTTTCATATTTTTTGCACACAAAAAAACACATTGTTTTAAATATTTGTTTGCTGCTAAATAAAGTACACATAGTACCCGGGTAAAAAAAGAAGTTAACGTAATTTACAATGGTCGGAATTTTTTTGGCAGACGGAAAAAAATTTAAAAAAAGAAAAAATGTTTTTTTAAGTATAATTCAGTGTTTGGCAGGTCATATCATTGTAGCTTAAGAAACTGAATGGATTAGTTGGGGAGGCAAATCCCCGTTACTTTTAAAAGTAAAGAAAAACTGGCAGGCACATTTACCCGGACAAAAACATGGCCCTATTTAAAATTTTGATTTGATTAAAGGCCCCCAGCAGACTGAAACATCCCCCCAAAACCTTTTTTTTCTAAAATTTTTGGGTTTTTTAAGTAAACAGGAGTGGTTGGGGATACCCCGCCAGAGAACAACCCCCTTTTCTGTCCCTTTTCAAGGTCTTTTCTATCCAAAAAGGGGAAAAATGTGTCCAAAAAAAACATTTTATCCCAAATTTTAGGGCCAAAACCCAACATTGCTTTAAAATAAATGGGAAAACTTGACATCATGCTAATTCCATCTCACTTGGCCCTTTCATTTTTTAAATTTAAGAAATGGAAGGTTTAAAATAAAAAAACACAAATTTTTACCCGTGGGGAAATTTTTTTTGTGACAACCCACATTGTGGTCTGGGAAAATGCTCCCCCATTTTAACCCCTTTCCATGTATGTTTTCAGTCAACCGGAGGGTGGGACAACTTTTTCCGTTTTCCAAAATTAATGCCGAAAAAACCAACTGTACCCGTTTTTAAAAAAAAAAATAATTTGGAAATATTCACTGTTTCAAGTCAGTGTTACTGTAGTTTAAAATTAAACCCTTTTTTTGTAAGACCTGGAAAAAACCACAAAAGGGGTGCCTCCATCCAGCAATTTTTTGCATCCCTGCAAATAACTTATTTATCCATTTTTAAACAATGACTGAAAACCCGTAGCTTTAAATATGTTTTGGGAGTGGCATATCTTAAGATTAAATACTTGTTTTCAGTGATACGGGCCAATTTTCGCATTATAGTGAAAAGCTTTTTTTTTGCTTACACTCTATT